AAGACTGGCATGAGAAGTTGCCTTTTGCTTTGTTCGCTTATCGAACCTCGGTACGAACTTCGACTGGGGCAACTCCATTCTCACTAGCCTATGGAATGGAAGCAGTGCTACCCATTGAAGTCGAGATTCCGTCCCTCAGGGTCTTGTCAGAAGTCAAACTGGATGATGCAGAGTGGGCACAATCCAGATATGATCAGCTTAATCTGATAGATGAAAAAAGACTGAAAGCCATTCATCATGGTCAAATCTATCAGAAACGAATGATCCGAGCACATGACAAAAAGGTGCGCCCGAGAATATTCCGTGAAGGGGATCTAGTGCTAAAAAGAATTTGGCCAGTCCAGAAAGATTTCCGAGGAAAGTGGACGCCAAATTGGGAAGGACCTTATGTCGTGAAGAAGGCTTTCTCCGGAGGAGCCCTTATCCTGGCTGAAATGGACGGACCTGAGCTGTCACATCCCATTAACTCGGACGCAGTCAAGAAATACTTCGCTTAGGATGAAAACCCGAGAGGGCGTCCTAAGTAAAAAAAAAAAAGAACGTTTAGGGTGAAAACCCGAAAGGGCACCCTAAATTGAAAAAGAAAAAAGAGAAGAGAAAATAAGGTGGGTTCAAGATGAAAACCCGCAAAGGGCGTCTTGCAACCAAGGATGAGTCCAAGTTGAAAACCCGGAAAGGGCGATTTGGATATTAACGGTGGAAACATCCCGGCACATGAATCTTCTACGAACTCAACAAATCGGAGAAATGTTGCACCCTCCCAAACGTTGTCGCTTTTTCAAAGATCCTTTGGCAAAGGCTGCATTCAAAGTCACCAAACGGCTTTTCAACTCAGAAGTGCCCACATTATCGAGATCTAAGACATTCATTTACACATCATTGTGTATTCGTTTTCTAGAATGTTTGCCATGTATTATTTGTTCTTCTCCTCCCTTATGAATAAAGACCATCTTTTCTCCAATTCTTTTTGAGCATCTTGAATTAGATTTAAACCTAATGGTTTATTTATTTTTATGAAAGATAATCGCATATTACTATACAAAGATTCATTGAAAATTACAGGTACCCAGAAGCCAATCAAGGCCCATGCACATGCTTGAGATGGTTGAGGACCATCTTCGAAAAAAAAATCATCATCAAACATTTGAAGAATTCAAGATCAGAGATCGGAACTTCAAGCTCAAGAGTCAACAACGACAGGCCACCGGAGAACTCTCCAGAGCTCAGAATAACATATGTTGCATATGCATTTTAGGCATACCTAAGACCATGACATCCATAACATCACATATATGCATATCTTTGCAGGTTTTACCCAGAGCCAATTTCAACTTCACAACGAAGGATATTGGACTCCAGACAACGTAAGTTCAACTTCACGACGAAAGGACCGCTGGTTGTCAACAAACGTTTCTCAATTTCAGAGCCAATTTCAACTTCACAACGAAGGATATTGGACTCCAGACAACGCAAGTTCAACTTCACGACGAAGGGACCGCTGGTTGTCAACAAACATTTCTCAATTTCAGAGCCAATTTCAACTTCACAACGAAGGATATTGGACTCCAGACAACGCAAGTTCAACTTCACGACGAAGGGACCGCTGGTTGTCAACAAACATTTCTCAATTTCAGAGCCAATTTCAACTTCACAACGAAGGATATTGGACTCCAGACAACGCAAGTTCAACTTCACGACGAAGGGACCGCTGGTTGTCAACAAACATTTCCCAATTTCAGAGCCAATTTCAACTTCACAACGAAGGATATTGGACTCCAGACAACGCAAGTTCAACTTCACGACGAAGGGACCGCTGGTTGTCAACAAACATTTCTCAATTCCAGAGCCAATTTCAACTGCACAACGAAGGATATTGGACTCTAGACAACGCAAGTTCAACTTCACGACGAAGGGACCGCTGGTTGTCAATAAATAACTTCCCAACTTCAGAGCCAATTTCAACTTCACAACGAGGGATATTGGACTCAAGACAGTATAAGTTCAACTTCGCGACGAATGAGCTATATACAATACCAACTTCACAAACAGATTGATCCAACTTCGCGACGAATGAGTCATCTGTAAACACCACGACGCCATAGTCTTCAGAACAAGGGTCACCTTCACGACGAAGTACCTTGAACCAGAAGATAATTCAGAGGCCACTTGTCAAAAGCTTTGAGCTCGTCTTCAACTTCGCAATGAAGGATTTCGTACTCAAAATCTTCCAGTTTTGACTCAACCCCACGACAAGGGAGTCATTTCTTGATCAAATTTCAACTCTGTGACAGAGGATAGTTGATATGGACGAAATTTGTGTCTTTTAATCTTTGCTCTATTGTCGTTACACAATAATGAGCAAAGAGGGGCAGCTGTAGACACATAATTTCGTCTCCACACTTTTATAATATTTACATATATATATTAGTATTACTCCACACTCTTATAATATTCACATATATATATTAGTATTAATTTCATTTATTTCTTGCATATTACAGGACCAAAATTAGGTTACAAGACCAATCTGCTGGCCCAACAGTGGACCAAGTCCAGCGCACGTGACCCATAATAGTTTAGGGTCTTCGGACGTCCTAGCTCCCTCAACTTCTCATCCAGCCGCCAGTAACAGTGACCGTTGGATCTAGATGGAATCCAACGGTCCACGGTAAAGGCATCTAGGGTTGCCTCCAAACCCAAGCCAAGGTTCCAGCCGCACCGCACACTCCCACGACCGCACGCCTCTAAAACAATGCCCGATTCTCTCGGCAACCACCAACGACGCAAGGATCTCGCACAGTGAACAAGAAAATGTTAGAGTCCTATTAGGATTCAAATAGGTCTAAAAATAGCACAAATCGAAGCTATAAATAAATGTAATCATCCATTTGTAAAGGGGGGTTTTTTGGCATACGAATCACGAAATAGACACAAAACCCTAGCAAAAATTCGCAGTAAATATTAGAGTGAAAACAGAGCTTTTCTTTTGCAAATTTTCGAGAGAACAATAGGTAAAGTTCTTACCTTTTGGTAGTTATTTTGCATGCTCGCCCGTTTGCTTCTCTTTTCCTTTTTTTATACTCAAAATACGCTCAAAACGCCGATGAACAGGGGGGTTTTCGAAGTTATCGAACCCAGATTCACACCCTGAGGCTTTGTTTTTGAGAAAACTGTTTAGATTTTCAAAACGAGGGCACCGAGAGCTTTAAAAAAATAAAAACTTTTTTTGATTTTGCCGCCGATGACGGCGGCCGGCGAGGTGGCGCGGTGCCGGATTCTGGGTTCACATGAACCCCACGACGGCGTGTTCATCTTTTTGGATGAACATTTGAAAGAAAATAACATAAAGGGAGGGGTTCCCTCGGCTTGGAGAAGAGAGAAATGATTATTTTGCTAAAAAATTTGATTTTTATGCTTAAACCATCCGCGTGTTTCTACTTAAAATAGGGTAAACTACCCTTTTGATCCCTGTTACCTCGAAAAGAGCCGTTTTCCCCCCTCAAACCGAAATTAACCCTTAATATTGCTTTAGAATTTCGACCTCAAGCCTGCAGTTCTTTCATTTTAGTCCTTTCTCTGGATTTTAATTTTAATTATCTTTTTATATTACATTATAATAGTTATATATATTTTATATTATTATTAGTTTTTTTTACACTCGTATATGTGTATTATTAGTATAGTATTATGTCACTTATATGTTATATATATATATATATGTATATATGTACACATTTTGTATTTTACCCTATTTCTTTACTTCTTTATTATTATATTCATTTACATTATTTATTTTTTCTATTATTATTATATTTTTTCCTCCCTCTTATATTTAGCTAATATATATGGTATTAATGTTATTATATGTTTTTATTAACTTTATTTGTTTTACTTTACACGCTATTATTTTATAATTTTTTTTAGTTTTTCTATTATTGTTATATATATATATATTCTTATTTTATTTTCATTATTTTTTATTTTATATGTACATATTTGATTATGGTGATTTATTTTAGTTTTTATGTTTTTTTATTTATTACTATTATATATATCTTTTTATTTTTCCCATTGTTTATATCTTTATCATTATTACCATCATATACATTATTTTTATATTCTATATTTTCCTCATCTTATTTGTTTTCCATTTTACCTTAGGCGTTTTATTTGCATTCCTTATCTAATATATGTCTTGATCTTCTAAGGGTACAATTTAAGCAATCTAAGGTAAGTAATTTGGATCGTCATTTTACATTTTAATTTAAATTTACAACTTTCTTAATTAAAGACAACTGGAAATTACATAGTACCGAAAGGGCAGTTCAAGGGTGCTAATCCTTCCTTAGCTGTAACCGACTCCCGAATCCGACATATCTTTGGTAAGACGCAGATCAGGTAAGATATAAGGTATCCGATTAACCTATTTATTTTTAAATAAATAATCGGTGGCGACTCCAATCAACATCGATTCTAGTCGAAGCCCAATTCAGGGCCCAACTGAAAGAAGGTTGCGACACATATGTTCCAAACAAAAAATTTGATGGTCATTTAAGTTAGACATTAACATGTTGATTGAGATACGATAGTCGTTTGAGATTCTATGATTAAATTTTAGCGTATCTTAGTTAGTAGATTAACATCCAACTCAAACCGTCGTTAATTTTTTAACAGAAAATGACGAGTTTGGACATATGAATAGTCAAGTGATGATATTATAACTTTTAATAGTTGAAGGACTCAACAAAGCAACATCCTATTGTCAGATGACCATTTTATAATTTTTAATAGTCAAATGGCTCAATAAAATAATATCCTATAATCGGGAGACCATTTGTGAACTTTACCCTATATTATAATGTTTTTTTATTTAATTTATTTAACCTCTTAATAGTTATCATATATGTAGGCATTGTAAATTATGATGGTAAATACACAAGCGTTAGCATTGTGCTCATGCCAAGAGAAGGTTTTGGACTTAAGAGAAGTGCAACTTCATAATACAACAAATGTTTCATGCATCAGTTACAGGCTAGACATAGAATTGTTATTTAATAGTATTATTCTTGATCAAAGGCTGGTTTTCCCCCCCAGGTTTGCTCTCACCGTTCACCAGCAACTTCATAGGAGTTTTTGTTCAAGATTCGAACGTGGAAACCCTCCGGAAACAACAGTCCCGGCTGTCGGACGGCCTTTCCGTCGTTCGTCACTGTCCACCTAAACGCATGCAGTTGTAATTTGTACAATATTATTTCGTGTATAACGATTAAATATAGAATAACGTATCTTGAATTACCCATCTTACCTGTGATTTGTCACCAAATAGTGAAGAAGAATAGCAATTTGGAGTTTTACAAATTCTGCCCCTGCACAAAGTCTCACACCACTACCAAATCCCATAAAGAACTTAGAACCTGCATTCAGTTCTCGTCCCTGGTTTGTGTTGTTGTCACGCATATGATAATTAGTTTCGAAATCCAATTATATTGAATCTTCATGTTAGCTTTCGTAATTTATCAACCGAATTACCTTCCATCGCCATGGATTGAATGTAAGTGGATCCTGGTATTTCGTAGAGTTCAAATGGACTGCTGGTGTACAAGCCAAAATGATCCAACCTGCAGGGATTGTATATCCTGTACGATCCATGATTCACACAAAATACGGATTAATATTTGATGCTCTAGCGGTTAAATATAGATGGACTTGCTTGGAGGACTTAAACATGCCTTCGATTTCTATATCTTTTACCACTTTCCTGAAGATTGCGGGGACGATATTTCCGAGCCTGATGGTTTCATTGATAACCTGATAAGCAAAAAGTCATGAACGTTACCGGGAACGATTAACAAAAGACCCTAATGAACGTGACCTGAAGCTCACCATATGTGTGAAAGTCATTGATTTATATTCTTTCCAAGTGATGCTAGAACCCTTTGTTTCTTTTTCCCTTAAGATTGTTTCATGTTCTTGCTGGTGACACAGACACGCATGTCAACTCAATAAAAGTATCGATGGATCAAGTAATTCGTTCGAAGACTTACGGTTAGTTCTGCTAGTGCTAGGGGGTTGCTCCGAAGATTCTTTAGAGCTAACACAACAGCAGAGGATGCAGATTCGAAAGCAGCGAAAGGAAGAGCAAACAGCAAATCCAATGCGGTCTGTTCCGATAGGATGCTTCCGGGTTTGCTCATTTCTTCCACTATCGTATCGAGAAAATCTCGGTCTTGCTTCTTCGGCGAGGCTCGACGCCTGTCATGCAACATACTTTTCACCACCTTCATTGCTTTGTTGCGGCCCTGTAAACATTGCCAGTAAGCAGTTCCGGGGATGTTTAGAGGAAAGGAGATTAAACCCTCTATGAATGCCGAATAGCATCCTCTTAGCTTCTCAGCAGATCTTGATTCCTTCCAACCAAATAGCTTCCTCACGGTAAAATCATATATCATCTGTCAAGTAAAGGAATAAATCGTCAAATGTACAAAGAGTATAGGGACTAAGAGCGTAAGTAGAAAGCAAATTTATACGTTTGATATGGCCTGTTTCAATTCAACTGAAGGTTGGGTAGACCACAGCTGCAGATGTTTGATGGTTAATCCATCTAGTTCCGAAAGATGTTTTTCTTTCAGGGCTTCGGAGCCAAACATGTTCAAAACCAAATTTCTGAGGTACTTGTGCAGGAATCCATGACTGGATAACACATTTTCCTTCCCGACAATATCATCAAAACTGTCCATGTACCAGCTTTGAACCAGCTTCCCTTCTTGTTGGAAAATGAAGCGATTGACATCAGGATCAGTGGACACAACAATCTTCCGACCAACCAGGCTTGTTCGGAACAAAGAGCCGTACCTGAAGATATCGAACTCAAACAAGTAAGACGATGATGTTAATTATACCTGATCACATGTTCATATGATTTGTGCATTAGCATTATACCTTTCCATTCTCGTTTTGATGAAAGGAGAAACATCGGAGGTGGTGTAAGGAGCAAAGAACTGAAATGACTCTCCGATGACCGGTAAACCCATGGAACCCGGTGGGAGCTTGCCATTGCACCTTGGGTTCTTCCAGTGGTAAATCCATAACAAAATGCCTAAAAAGAATACTATCATGCAAAGCAGAGAATAGGCCATTGGTAGCAACGAAGAGAAATGAAACGGGAACATCTGCATATATAGCATTGGATTGCAGAGAGTGTGACATGAGGGCTTACCGCATTCATCGTTGTCTTTTGTCTTAGCATGCAAGGGTTGAAGGCTGACGTGGAATTTCGATTTTGTCACAGGCGGCTAGGGGGAAATGGAATTGTTTAAGTTGACCATATACTTTGATTTGATCCAAGTTACAGCTGGTATATAAAAGTAATTAGTCCAAGCTTCATTATTGGCGTTAGTAGGGTTAGTTTGGAAGTCTAATCAATTTTCAATTGCAGTTCAAAGTTAGGATATGATCCGTCATTTGCTTCACATGGGGACTCCTACGAAAGTTGGGCGGTAGTAGATTCAGGACAAAATTAGAAGCCAAGATCGGAAGGATCAAATTATTAAACATCCAATAATAAAGAAATACTAAATAATAAAATGACTGAAGTAAAAAATAATAATAATTTGACGATATTGTGGTATAATATACCCTTAATTAAAATTTACTACTACTATTGGTATGAATATTGAACACATTTATTCTCATACAGTTTCAATATAAAACATAAATGAATTGGAGATTTTTCTTTGTGTAGGGTTAAACAATTATATATACAAGGATAAAACAATGATTCAACATTATTATTATACTATATTCATCAAATCTCACTTGAGTATAACATTCCTCCGACCATCATTTGACTTGACTCGTATTTAGGAAAATGTCACAAATAAAAAATTTGACTTGATTTTTAGGGGAAGACCCGCACAGGTCCAATTTAATACAAAAAATATATATAAAGATTCTCGCTTTATTAGATAAAATGAAGATCTAATTGAAAAATATATAGATAGAGGAGTATTATAAAAATTATCTCAAAATATATGAAAGTCAATTATACTATTGTCATTAGATAGAGTATCTTTTCATTATAATTTCGAACCCAACCCTACTAATTTATGTTTCTAAAAATTTGACCTATTCTTGTCGGAACCGTCTTTCGGTTGGGCCCCGGAATTGGGCTTCGACTTGAAAAATGTGGATTGGAGTCGCTACCGACCACTTTAAAACGAATTTAGGTGGGTCGGATACCATCTTACATGATCTGTGTTTTACCAGAAATGTGTCGAGTTCGGAAGTCGGTTACGGTCAAGGAAGGATTAGCACCCTTGAACCGTCCTTTCGATACCAATTAATTTGTCGGCTGTCTTAATTGTGAAAATTTAAACTTTAAATTAAAATTTAAAAGCATTCAATTCAAATTATTTACCTTTGATCAGTTGGAATTTATCTACAAAGTTAAAAATGTTGGAGAAAATAAATAAATAAATAAATAATAAATCAAAAGAAAGAGAAATTAATTTTTTTTAAAAAAAAATAGTAAAATAAAGTAGAAATAGATAAACAAATAAAACAAATCAAATAAATGATATGGATTTAATAACACTAATTATCCATATAAAAACTGATTAATTAATTCACAAATTATAAAAAAAATATTACTCAATTGCGGAAATTAACCAGATCAATTAACACCTCAATTACCTCAATCAACACCGTAATCGTTACAACAATCATCTCAAACCATGGAATCTTAATCACATTAATTAATCAATTAAAAGCCACGTTCATTCCAAATTAACCAACCATGCACTAAAAGAATTAAGCAACGATTTTAGGCAAATTTGAGTTGATAAGGAGAATCAATATTTTAATTATATTAATTCATGCCATAAAAAAACAAAGCCTTCGCATGGGAACTAATTAAGCCACATTCACTCCAAGCAAATTAGTCATGAACGGAAAAACATTAAGCCATGATTATTTAGGGCATAATTAATTAAATCAAACCTAAATTAGGGACCTAATCGAGGCCACTCTACAGTGGAAAGATCTAATTCATAGTTTACCCAAAGAAGCAAAAACATTGAATATAACTAAGAACTAAACCCTGATTTCATTTTATTCATTTTTCATTTTGGCAGCCTCCACTCTCTCAAAGTTCTCTATGATCTTCGGCCAGAACTAAAAACAACCATCATAAAATGGCATCGTCCGTCGTCACCGACCACCGCCGGCGGTGACTGCCCCAAAATCCAACTTTAAAACGTTTTTAAGCTCTTAGTGCAAATCCGAGGTTAGTTTTCAAATAAATCACACAAATACGTGTAAATCTACAAACGAAAAATTTCAACTTTTACCTTCTTCAAGCTACAAAATCATCCGTCGAACGCTGGTTTGCTTTGAGTTTTGATGTCTCGGTATTCCTTTCTCCAGATTAAAGAAAAAAAACTCTCTTTTCTTCTTGTTGATTCACGATCATATGTTTTCTTTTTTCCAGAATTTTTGTGTGTTCTAGGTTTACTCTCTGTTGATACTCCTGATTTTCGTGTGCGATTTCCTCTTGATGCTTGTGTTCTTTCCTCTCTGAAAAAAGGCCCTCTTTTCGTATGTAACGGATGTATTTCCCTCTAATCATTCCCCCTTTTTCTTGTGATGTTTCATGCATATTTATAATGTTTAGAAGCCTTGTTCCGTTTGATTTTAGACTTCTAACGATGCCAAACTACTTGCTTGTTTGTTGGTGATATTGGTGTCGAGAAATCCGCTGCATGGGTTGTTGGATGCGTGAGGGGTCGTCGGCGGGAGATGCGGCTCTTGAGGAGAGGCGACTGACCACTTTGCAACAACCCCTAATCTGTTCAGGTCTTAAACTGGGTCGGTCGAGCTTTGGACCCGATTCGCGGGTCTATTTGGCAGCTGAGCTCTCGGGTCCCCAAGACGTCATCGGGTTGGATTACCCTTGTAATGAAATTGGCTTTGAGCCTGCTGCTTGTACTGTTGGACCTATAAAAGGAAAAAATATATAAAATAAGTATAATATATTAATAATAAAAATGAAATATTAATATATTAAGTCAGACGAAAATTAGTATCCACAAATCTAAATTGGAATAAAAGAATGATCTTATAAAGTCAGATTAAATTAAAACAACACAAGCATTTTGTCTACTCATTCGACTTGATACACTTTCATAAAAAAAATTACTTCGATCTAAGAATGAATTACGAGATATTAAGATTCTAACTTTAGATCTACTGAATTGAAACACGCTCATTAACAGAAAGAGAATAAAAAAACAAGATAGTTATTATCCATCAACTCAGTTAGCACAATGGAGGACTCGGACTTGTCTCGAAGGCACCGGGCACCACATAGGGTCCGCACAAATTCAGGCCGAGCAGCTGAGTCGTGCAGCTCATCTGCGCCTTACCCGTCGCGACTATGACCAGGAACACTACTAGTACCGCAGCTTGGGAACTGAGAGATACAACTGACTTCACAACTGCCATGTCTGGTTTTTTTCTTATCTTGAACTATTCACTGGGGATTTTAGAGTACTACTTATGGTTGTGGGTTTGGAGGCTAACAGCGACAGTAATCTATTGCGTGAGTTACCTGTATGGTTTTTAGCACACCATGGTTGTTGTGTTCAGGGTAGGTTGAACATTATATTTCTAGTGGAGGCCGCTTTCAAAAAACTTTATGCTATGGATGTTGGTCCAATTTGATTCATTCTAATCGGATTAATTTTTTCTATTCATATTGTGAAGATTCGGACTTTGAATATTATTTAAAGAATTTAACGTCTTATTCTGCTAGATTAACATATTATTGATATTTTTTTTATTTTCTAATTAGTAAATTTAATATAATTATATTTTATTAATCAAACATGTATAAAAAACTAAAATTTATAGTAATTACACTTAATAATTACTATCTTCATCTAATAATTATACATTCATGCAATCGCTCTATAGAAAATTAAAGAATTATGTGTGTTGTTAAAAGTGTATGTAATTATTTCAATATAACCTAGTTTGGGTCGAATAATATGTTGTTGAGGCCTTGGCTGATGCTATTGCTTTGTAGTTTAAGGTCTTGGGGGTTGGGTTGTGATAGTGTGTTCATTTACTCGCCTCGTTTTGACACAGTTATGATGGATTAACCTTCGGTATATTAACATTTCAGTTATGAAGACTCATGGAAGAGACAAGTAGGAGGCGATTGATTATCAGTCATTTGTCAATGGAGGAATATGAATGGTCCGTAGATGTAAAAAGGAAAGAAAAAGTGTATTTGCATGATGCCTTTCAAACTATATATATATATATATTATGACTGGTTGAAATGTATGCCCCACCTTTGATTCGGAAACAAAACGAACCCGATTTTAATGGCATTTTGAAGGTCGCATGCAAGTTAGTTCTTGATATCTTGCTGTGGGGTTGTTAGTATGCTCAGGAATACCTTAATGCTTAAGATATTATGTATTAATGGCCTTTTATAATATTCGTAAGAAAGAATATTTTCATTCAGATTATTTGGTTTTGTTACTTTATGCTTGCAGCTGAAGCTCTGGAATCAACGGAGTAGGGATGGTCAAAATACTCAAACTCGACGAGTTTCGATTTGACCTAACCTTATAGGGATGGATTTTTTTTTAAAATTTGAGGACTCAGGGCAGGGCAGGGCAGGGCGAGATCGGGTTTAAGGTGAAAAATCACCAACCCGACTCGACCTGACCTTATAGGGATGGATTTTTTTAAAAATTTGAGGACTCAGGGCAGGGCAGGGCAGGGCGGGATCGGGTTTAAGGTGAAAAATCACCAACCCGACCCGACCTGACCTTATAGGGATGGATTTTTTTTTAAATTTGAGGACTCAGGGCAGGGCAGGGCAGGGCGGGATCGAGTTTAAGGTGAAAAATCACCAACCCGACCCGACCAGATTAATTTATACTTTTTCATATAATATATATTTAAAATTTTAAAATTTATATTATTAAAATATGTTCTTTAATTATTATAAAATATATTATCTTAACCTTTTAAATATAATAAATAATTATATATATATATATATTATAAAATATATTATTTTAATTATTTTAAAATATTAATATGCTCGGATTGAATCAGGTCGGGGTCACGGTTTTAATCTAAAAATCAGTACGAGATCGAGAAAAAAAAACTAAAGTTCATCGAAACGTAACGGAGCCAAGTATAAGAAATATATATTTTCGATTCGGAGTGGGGCAGCCAAAAATCCGGCTCGATCCACCCTATGCCCATCCCTAAATGGGGAAAGCAGAATTCAATTCCTGGCGTAAAATGTAATCATTTATATATGCAGTATGTCTTTTAACACGAAATGCTGTCACGTTTATTAATTTTCACCCGTTTTGATTTTTGAAAAGCAAAAACATGTTTATCTTTTGGTATTTGGAGTCGACAAAAACTGCACGTGGGAGGAACAATTAATCATTCAACTTTTGTTAATTTTAATAGGCTTGAAGGAGGAATTTTGTCCTCGTATTCTATCAATTTTATCAATGTTGTCTCTGTTTTAAATTGCCTAGTGCTGTCTTTAAACTCTTAAATTGTATCAATGTATTGACTAAAATCGTAGTTGATTATTTTGACATTTTTTAATTAATCACTGATATTTGATATATTGACCGATTAATCTAGATCAGGTACTGCAGAGGCGAGGGCGACCCTCCCAACCCAATTTGTTTCATTCGCAAACGTCAGAATTCGAACTCTTTATATTACTTAAGGGACCTAATGCCTCATCCCACTAGACTAACTGGTTGTTGGTGATTATTATGACATTTAATTGTGCTAATATAATGATTTACATGTGAAAGATAACGTGATATAAAAGTTTAATTATTTTTAGAAAATTTGAGGATTTAACTAATTTTTTTTGGTAAACTTAACGGTTTAAAATTTAATAATTTTTCGCTTAAATATTAAATATTTTTTAGCAAATTATATTGTATATAAATTTATACATTAACATTGTAGATTGTGATATTAGTACTATAGATTGTTATGTTAATGCACTTAATTTATACATTGGTATTATAATCGTTAATGATAGTTTCTTTTAATCAAAGGATGATATTAATGTAATTTTGAAAGCAACACTGATACAAATAGAAACAAGATATAGTATTGATAATTTTAATAGAATAAAAAATAAAAATAATATATATTAATCCTTTTTAATAATGCCAAACACAGTATATATTTGAATTCATATGAACAAAACAAATTCTGGGTCTTATTTATATTGCATTGCTGAGTCAGTGCCAGGTCAAGGGCTGTATCCTCCCTTATATTACTGTTGTTGAACATGATGGTTTGTGGTTACCGTAATTCGGTTCAATTTATAAGGACTAGGATGGCCCCTAGCTCTGGGACCAGCCCCATGTCTTTTCTTTCATCAACCAAAATAATCTGTTGGGTTTCATTTAAATTATTATTATTATTATATTATATTTAAATTATTCATAATCTTCAAATTCCTATGAAAAAAATGTTTTTTTATTTAAAATCATCTACTTAATAATATATAAAATAAAATGATTTATATAAATTTTAAATTGAGACCGATCTTAATTTAATCTTCAGATAGCCCTTAGTACATCTTTAGAAATTCATTCAAATTCTTACAACTCTTATGGTGATATCTAAAAGGATATTTTTGTAGTGGGTAAAATACACAAATTATCCATCAACCATAAGATAGTACTATGTTGAGTCTATCGACTATTAAAAATTATATAATAATCATTTGATTATAAGAAACTACTTTGTTAAATCTTTGACTATTAAAAGTTACAAAATAGTCGCTCGATTATTCATATGTTCTAAATTCGTCATTCTCTGTTAAAAAATCAGAAATCGTCTGAGCTGAACATTAACATACTTACTGAAATATGATAAAAATTTGATTACAAAATTATTTGAGTTGTATTTTGGGATCGAGTCTTTGTATTCATTATATTATCGAGTCAGTTCTTGAAATATTATATTGTTGAGTCAGTGCTTGAAAGCAACGGTGGTACCAATAGACGTCATTAAAATATAATTTTATCATATATTAGTCAGTATATTAACGTTCATATCAGACGACCGTCAAACTTTTAACAGAAAATGATGAGTTTGGAACATATGAATAGTCGGGTGATCATTTTGTAACCTTTAATAATCGAAAGACTCAACAAAATAACATCATAGAGTCAAATGATCATTTTGTAACTTTAATAATTAGATGACTCGATAAAATATCACCTTATAGTCGAGGATCACTTGTGTACTTTACCCTTGTATATTATGTTCTCACCACATAATTCAACAGTTGAAAATGAATTATAATAATTATAGAAATTAGTTTGATTGAATATTGATCATCAGTAGTAGAAAACAATGGGTCAAAAACACATTCCGCTTTCCATTATTAATTTGCTTTTTGGTGCGTTTGTCGAGTAAAATGAGCACATGATCCTCGACATGAATTCACCCATGCTATAATATGATGAGAAATAGGCGTCTGCAAAAATATTCGATTCAGTTGATTTGATTTGTCTACCCGAACATTAAAAAACCAGGTAACTTTATAAAAATTTTACCCGACCGGGTCGGATACACAGCCTGACATTTTTCGGGTCATAAAATTATGTTTTTCCGGATACCTAGTTTTTTCGGATACCTAGTTACTCGAGTACCCGGTTAGTTTTTATTTTTTATTATATATATATATATAATGGGTTATTTATATTATAAATTATTAGATTTTATATTTCGAACTTTTAAATTTTATGTTTAGATTTTGAAGTATGTAATTCGAATTTTTGAATATTTAAATTTATGTATATTTTTTAAAATTAATAATTTGAAAATTAAAAAAAACGGATACCCAATTACCGGGTACTCATAACATCTAAGTCGGGATACTGACCGAGAAATCATCGGCTCGTATATTCGGTCCGATTTGCACACCCCTAAATTGAGAAGCAGGTACCATCAATGACATGTAGACATTTGGGCAGTGGAACCCATTATTAATGAATAGAAAGAAAGCTTATTTTAAAAGATATCATGCGAGGAACGCATGGTTCTTTTAAATACTGATTTCATGTGCTCAAGTCAAGCCTAACAATTAATTAATGCTTCTTATTTGGATTCTGATGATCCATTAAAGCTTTATTTTTATCATTGTGTCGTTTTAGCGCTTAATCCCATTCAATAATACAAGAACATCTCAATTAAATTCAGTACTTTCATTTAATAATTTGGAAGATGTGCCGAAAGGTTGCCTACCTGCCCAAACTTACTTACCGACGTGCCCATGGCCAGGCGAGCATGACGATCTCTCTTAATTAATTGAATTAGCAATGATACATGCATAAACATCTGTATTTAGTTTTGAACTTTATCCAATACTATTTCGATATCAATCGAGATTTATATTGTATCATTTATTACAAAAGGTTATATTTTTAAAGACATTCATGAATATAATAATAATTTAAATTTAACTCTCACAGCTCTATATTCAATCTAGTCATAAAATAACCAAACTACCATCAAATATTCGCAACGTGTAATAAAGCACTTTATAAGAATGAGAGAGAGAGAAATATCATATCTTATAAATGACTATAAATCTTTAATTTTATTATCTCTTTTTCTTTTATGCTGTCTGAACTAGCATAAACTATCATCATATCCATATATACATCAATGAATTAATCAAATATATTTTATTTTTCATTAATTAAGCAATGGCATAGTGCCACTTCTTAGCTAATTTAGTTGATGTTGGAATTTCTAGAATTGAGTTTTCACCTTTGTCAAGTGGAGAATATTAAACATTGGGCGGGCACTCCTCCTTCAAGCCCTTTTCCTTTCCCCAAAGTCTCCAAAACCAAAACCTTTTGATTTGCTAGAAAACCCTCTTCTCTCTCTGCCTTAAACATGAAGAAACTGGTGCCCTCTCCTTCGATTTCTCCCCTTGTTTCCTGCTTCATTCACCATCTCCTCCTCTACCTTCAAACCCTTCCTTGAGACACCAACAACCTTGATTTCCATCTTCCTTCACCTCTAGTGTTTCTTTTTTTCTTTTATGGGGGCTGCTGTATCTGGTCTTTCAGCTGCAGATTCTCAATTCAAGACTGGTCTTAACGATGTGCCTGAAGGTTGTATATCGTCCATATATATGTACTTGGATCCGCCGGAGATTTGCAAATTGGCGAGGCTGAACAGGGCTTTCCGTCGAGCTTCTTTGGCCGATTTCGTGTGGGAAACGAAGCTGCCGTCGAATCACGGGCACCTGGTGAAGAAAGTGATCGGTCAAACTCCCGACACTTTGTGCAAGAAAGAGACTTTCGCTAGACTGTGCAGACCTAATCGTTTTGATGGTGGCTCCAAGGTATAGCTTTCTCTCTTTCTTCTTCGCTTGTTGATCTATAATAAACACCCTGTAAAAAACCCAGCAAGAAGAAGAATAAACTTTTGCAAGTAAAATGGATTTTGTTTCCTGCAGGAAGTGTGGTTGGATAAACAGAGCGGTAAGCTTTGCTTGTCGGTATCTGCCAAGGCGCTGAAAATAACAGGGATCGATGACCGGAGATACTGGAATCATATTCCGACAGAAGAATCCAGGTAATACAACAGTGTTGTTTTCCTATGCTAAATTGCCATGGAACATGACATTATTGATGTCTAGTTGATGCTAAGTTCATTCAAGTTATAGGACCAAATCAGATATTTAATTAAAAAAGAACGAAATAGAGTTGTTCATAGATCGAATCCTGAAATTTACGATTTGCAGTTAAAATAGACTAAAAGTCTAAAACCAAGCTGAATGGTTGCGTTTTAATTCACTTATATGCTGATTACTTGCCTTGTCTCTCAAGTATTATATATTTGTTTTTTTGCAGAGCAGATGCCTTACCTAATGAAAGTTATGGCTACATTTTATTAATCCCTACAAGCTTGTATAACCAGCATTGTCGACAATTTAAAAAGAGTTAATTTAGATGCTAATTCTATTTGTTATATATATGTGTAGATTTGAGACCGTGGCGTATCTCCAACAAATATGGTGGTTTGAAGTGGTTGGAGAATTAGAGTTCGAGTTTCCACCCGGATCATATAGTTTATTTTTCAGGTTGCACCTAGGTAAACCCTCGAGAAGATTCGGTCGACGGATATGCAACATCGACCAAGTTCATGGGTGGAACATGAAGCCTGTTCGGTTCCAACTCTCGACATCAACGGGCCAAGAAGCCTCGTCGGAGTGTTACTTGTATGAACCCGGGAAATGGATTTATTATCATGTGGGCGATTTTGTCGTCACCGAGGACTCGAATTCCACGACTAAAATCAAGTTCTCGATGTTGCAGATAGATTGTACACACACAAAAGGAGGTCTCTGTGTGGATTCTGTGTTGATATGCCCCAATGAGTTTAAACAGATGAGATTTAAGTAATTAAATCATATGATACTAATTATATCAAAACTGATGTTTTTTTTTCTTTTCACGAGGATATAATTTGCCCATGCACTTTTGTATTATTCTATTTGTATAGTAAAGTAGAGATCAATTGCGCCCTAGGCATGGTGGGTTAACCCATCTTATTATTTGTTGAAAATACAATCCAATATAAATTATATTTTTTCTGTTTTAAGTGTTTAATTTATTTTTATCAAAATAAATATTTAACATTACATTTTATAATTAATTTTAGATAAAATTGTCAATATTAGCACCAACAATTCCCTGTGCTACTCTTTAGCGTTGTTGCTCGGCATTCTCCGACAAGTTGAGCTCTCCTCTTCTTTCTTTGGAATTCCTAAACTCAAATTCTTGCGTGGCTGTCGTCTCTGCCGAGCTCTGATGTCGTGGATCGTTTTCAATCCACGACAAAATTAGTGGACTGGATCTGAAATGGACACAGCTTTGGGCTGAATCGACGGTCAGAAACAATTGTCACGTTGGCGTTCTTATCTACACAATTATGCCCCACCTCCACCATTGTGTTTTTGATTTTACCTACAGGTCATATCACATTTAATTTAATATTAAATTTTCAAAATCATCTCATAAAACCTGTAAAACATTTTTTTTTAAATAATTTGTTCTTAGCTTTTTCATTTTAAAATATATTTTTATAAAAAAATAAATTTAATTACGTGTCAAGTGACATTTTGATGTTATAAAAAATAAATAAATTTTAAAAAATTCATAATATTTTTATAATAAAAACAGAATAAAAATATATATTTAAAAATATTTTAAAAATATTATAATTTCAAAATGAAAATAATTTATAATTTTAAAGATAAATATATTATTGAACTCTATCAACAATATCATGAAATAAATAATTTATAATATCGTTTTCAATACTTACGGAATTCCTTTCATTTGATGATCCAAGAGATGAGTGACTAACTCAACTTCTCTCCCCAAATGTCAAATATTTGCTGGTGGAAAGTTTCTTTCATTTGATTGAATTCACATTTATATATTTTTTTAGGCTTAATATACCAAAAAAAAAAGTTTTCAATCTATTCTGATTTATTTATAGTGGTGTTTAAGTTTTTTACGATCAACTTAAATGTCGAACGTTGCTTTAGACATCTTTTATCGGTCGTTATTCTTTTATAGTCATGTAGGTCGTCAAATCATTTAAGTGTCGTGAATTTAGAGATTTGAGTTCGTCATTTGAGGTTTGATTTTATTGTTTCCTTTGTTGAAGATGTCACGTTTATGGGTTATAGATTGTCAGGTTTGACTTATCATCGGGTGGAGGTCAGGTCAACAGAAATGGTGTGAAATGACGACGGTCGATGTAGACATAGGGATTAAAATTAGTTTTTTCAAAATTTTAGGGTTTTTTTTAGATTTGAAATTTTTTGGGTTTTTTAAAGATAATATATAATTTTAAGTTTTTAATTGTAAATAAAATTTTTAAAATTATATAAACAAAACACATGTCATTTAACGAAAATTTTTAATGAACGTTATAGCTAAAACATTTAAAATAATAACGATGATAACATTAAACATCTAAATTAATCGAAAAAATATAAACTCTTATTATTATATTAAATCATTCTTTTAAAATAAATATTAATGGTGGAAAGGGACCAAATTCCATTTGTTTATTACTCCTATTATTATTCTCCCGTCAGTTGTCGCATTCACCTATGACTTCTAAAACAATGTATTCGTTTTTGGGTTTTTGATTCTTTTTGTGTCTTAATTTCAAAGATTAAGAGAATAAAGTAGATGTCTTTTACCCACAAATACAATTTATTTTGCTGGGTTTATGTGATACTCTTTCTCCCTTTCACATCCAAGTGCAAGCCCATTCGGTTGGTCTTCTCTCTCATCTACTCCTGTTGAAAATCTTTACTTGAAAGGTGATTGAAAAGAGGGTTCCAGTACTTTTAGCTTGGCTTTGGATCTATTGCCTCTTTCACTTCACTCCCTCTGCAAACAAAAAGGGTACCCTTTGTTTCTTCTTCTTTCACTGCAAGTCTGGGTTTTACATCATCATTATCTAGAATGTTTTCATGATTACTTGTATTATAATAAGTGTATGATTCCTTTCGTTTTCTTTAACCAACCTGGAAGACATTTTCTGGGGGTGGGGTATTTCGTGTATGTTCTGTTCTTATCTTCCTTTGTGATTGGACTTTAGTATGTTTCAGCTTAGGGTTACAGTTTGGAATTGATCTCAATGAATATGTTTGTAATTGTAGACAACTGTGAATTTGATGTCTGATCCTTGCTTGGTGATTGAATCTTTGTGGTTGTTCCCTAAGCTGGGGGCTTTTTGTTTTTCAGGGTTTCTGCTGTTAAGCAGTACTGGTGAAGCTTACAAAGGATCCAAAATGGATGATTGTGGTGATTTTATACAATTGCTTGGACCTGATGTTTCTATGAATATTCTCATGAATCTGGTTGACCCTTGTGATCTCGTCCGTGTTTGCCTAGTTTCCAGTTCTTGGCATCGATTCGGTAAGCAAATCGTGCTGTAATTATTCTCGTCTCTGCTGGTAACTTTATGCATTGTTCACATAGTTTCCTTATACAACTTCATTGGTTCACGTTTTTGTTTATCTTGCAGTGATTGAAAACGGTCTTTTTAAGCAGCTTTGCGTGAAATTGTTCCCTGAAATTTCTGGTGTCGTCCACACCATTGAGGCGAACGACTTGATATATCCTGCAGAATTTAAAGAGCATGATCGAAGCAAGTCGGAATGCCAGAGGAGGAATCATAGAGTCTATGCCTTTTTGTCGCGAGCACTTAACCTTTTCGTAAGAAAAGATTGCATATCGAAGGCCATTGCTGCGTCCAGCACTGACAATTACCCGGAAGAAAGCATCCATAATACTTTGGAGCCACTGGATAGAATAGACAATAAAGCATTGTATTGGTCAAGTGAAGGGCGAAGTGATCCTTCTATCTCTGAGTCTTTACTTTATAAGTTGATGGCCAAGATGTGTCTTGTTACAGAAATCCATGTTCAGCCGTTCCAAGGTTTAACTCGAAAGCTTTTTTGTGCTCGTCTTCTGTGTATCGGACTTGCTTGTAGAGTGAAACTCTTGTAACTGACTGTGTCCTGTTGACATATCAGCTTATTTTCAGTATGACTTCCCTATATACTCATCCAAGGCTGTCAGATTTAGAATGGGCCATCTAAGGGTACCCGAGGAGTTGCAGAGTAAAATGGCGGATGGTTCAACTTATAGTCATAAATTGGCTGATAACAAGTTCATATGGACATATACTTCGCCGGAATTTCCAATGGCTCAGGTGAGCTTCATGTCAACCAGCTACATTCGATGTTCAGTCAGGGAAATGAAATTCAATATGCTACATGGCAACGAAGGCCTATATGGATTTTATCTCTCCTTTTTATTTTATTTTTGAAGTTCAAATTCTGTCATCATATGCTTCATTTAACACCTCGAATAAAAAATTCTCAGGAAAACTGCTTACAGAAGTTCAAGCTACCAGAGCCAGTTCTTTGCATTGGAGGAATCTTGCAAGTTGAGTTACTTGGTAGAGTACAGAGACAAGAAATGGACGGCTTATATTATATATGGTTCTCTCTCTCTCTCTCTCTCTCTCTCTCTCAACGTTTTAGCAATATCTTGAATGCTTTAGTTTAGGCTTAATCAAAATTAAAATATCTGTTTCTGAATAAGTAAAAACTGGTCGAGCCTTGTGCAGTATTTCACATGTTCAAGCTGTCGGACGACCGCTTTTACCAAGATTTGATATAGAGATGCTCGATTCAACAGGAAGGTGTGCTTTGAAGTACATGCCTGAAACAGAGAAATGTATGCTTTCATCGGCATCACCTGTAAGGGAAAACGGTTCATCTTCTCGTCTCCGTAGCTTCACAGCAAGATTAATACGGAGAGGCACAAGAGGTTGGGAACAAATGATATTGAATGCTCTTCCTCGTTCTAGGGCAGCTGGTGCTAATGATGCAGATGTTGTGCCCTCCGCTCCGCCCTCATAATTGTTCATGGCAGTTAGTCTTTTTTTTTTCTGTTGGCATGACATCTGATCCTGTTACTGCAAATAAAATAGATTACACTAGCAAGACTTGAAAACTGGAAATCCTTTATGAAAATTGCAATGAATTTCTGAGCATTGAAACATGTAAACATCATATTATAAGAAACAGTATCCGTTCCAATGTTTGTTCTGTTCAATAGATTACACTTGCAAGACTTGAAAACTGGAAATCCCTAAAAAGTAAACCAAAAGAAAGTAATAGGAAAATGATAGTTAATTCCCTACTGAAAGCACAAGGCAAGTGATGTCACAACAAATGCCATATTAAAGCAGTGGCTGGGAAAGATTAAACAATAGGGAAGAAGGGCAGCAGCTATTTCAAAGGCTCTGTACAACGATTCTCCCGAAACTCACCAAACGGGAGAGCCCTTAATTGGGCCATATAATGTTAGTCATGCCTGCCAGCCATAATCATCAAGTTCGCTGTTAAAAAACCCGCTATCCAGGAACTCTTGAGCTATATCCGAAACTATATCATCCTGCAAATGGAGGCTCTGAGGCAAATCAGATGCATTCCGGTTGAATCCAGCATGGCCACCAGCTGCCGAGGAGTCGCTGTTTGAAGCACCTTTAAAACTGTTGCTTCTACTCGGTGCAGGGCCAGCTGCACTTCCTGATACATTAGAAGTGGCTGCACCTGGTTGAGCAGTGGTGTTGCTACCAAAGCCCATTCCGTTTCTTCCCCCACTTGCATTCCCATTCTGCCCACTAAGGGACTGCAGTTGCTGTTGTTGAACTCTAGTATTGTTATTAGACATCTCATGGTACAGCTGTTGCATCATTTGTTGTTGTAAAACCTGGTTACCCTGAGACTGTTGCGGATGGTTCTTTTGGATTATGTTATTGCCGCTTACCGTAAGCTGCTGCTGCTGCTGTTGAGTTGGTAAATGGGGACTCAATAAGCCACTAACAGGCAGGGTCTGCATGGATCCTGATAGCACGGCAGCAGGTTCTTGGAAATTTGAAGATGGTCTCTGGTTAGAATTATTGAAGGAAGAAGAGGCTTCCTGATTGAGTGAATTAGGGTTTGAAATCATCGAGTTCTGCCTACTGAGCATATTCTGGTAGTTAGAAAGTGCCAAAGCAGCTTGTGCTGAACCGCTTAAAGTTCCTCGACCATCCATGTGTTGGCTGTTACCCATTGGGTTGTTTATTCCCGGATGAAGTGCCATTAGCTTATGGAGGGTATTCCTGTAATTTGGCAGACCCTGAGTGTTCGATAACTGCTCCGTTTCCTGCATTTGGAGCTTGGCTGCACCGGCATGTCGAGGATAGTTTTTCAAGCCATCTGCAAAGACAATTTTTAAGCAAACAGATGGTTAGGATAAAAGCTATAAAGTTTATCTCTCGATTCAGATAAAACAAGCGTACATTGACCAATATATGCAGAATATCATTTTGGACAATAGTAAGAGATCAGCAAGGCAAATGCACAACTTACCAATTGGCCCAACCTTGTGTTCTCGACAAAAATCTATTAGATCTTTCATGCTACTTACAACCTCAGCAATCTATAACAAATTATGCAAATTGCAAAATTGTTAGGAAACTAAAAAAAATGACTAATTGCTGAAATTTAAATGCAAAAAGCTAAATTTGTACCTGCAAACATCTGACATATCTTTTCGAAAAACCCAAGTCATTCAGCGACTGCAACTCCAAACTCTTAACAAGCTGCCGTCCAGCTGTCAGGACCCTAAGAAAAAGCAGCCATGTAATCATGTTGAATCAGCAAAGTTCTAACGAGTAGTAACCAGGTAATAGCTAAACTACTCACTTAATCCTTGGTTAATAAATAAATAAATAAAAAGTCTTAAGGTCCTACAACCAGAAGCTCAACTAAAATAAACACTAATAATTCGAGACCCTGCAAAATAACTTTATTGGTGCTTTTCTGGCAAGTAATCTCTTGAAATCTTAAGGTCTCTAACAAAAAGAATCTGATGACATTAATTCATGGCAAAAAAAGAGTTTCACATTAGTTCAATTAACTCACATATTGCTGTTTGTTTGCAAGTCCTGCTGAGAAACCCCCTCAGATCCGCCTGCAGAAATTGTGCTCTGGCATTTCTGTGCAACCTGAAGTAACTGGTTTACCTACATGATTTACAGTCAAGGTACATCAGGTGCCCTTAAAGAACTTGAAACAAATGGCTTAGGAAGTTCGTTTTCTTAAGATAGAACAACTAAACTTCATACACACATCAAAGGAATGCAACCTTAAAGATTAGAATAAAATGGAAGCAGCAAAAACATTTATCTTTGCCTTGCTTCTTTTAAAAGGTTAATTTCAAGCGGATAACATTGTTTTGGGTTGTCTTGTTATTATCCCTAATACTATCAACACATTCAGAGTAAAATCTGTCTTGGGATGTAAAGGGAATAAAAATAGAGCAGAGCAGGAGTAAAGGGTTTAACCTACCTTGTTTGTATTCTTTTATCCCTAACCTGCATTGTTTGGTCAAAAACTCAAAATCCTCATTTTGGAAGTTACCTCAATTGAAAGGGTTTGTATTAGAGTACTGGTAATCCTTTCCCAACTCAAAAACTTAATTTAGTAAAGGTTTATATGCAATGGAATAGCACATAAACTGTCAAGTATTTTCTACTGTACTCTTCTCTCTGTTCACCTCATTTACTCCAAAAAAATTTACCTTCAGATCCCAAACACGCTAGAAAACTTCAACCTCATTTTCACTTCATAGGGTTTAATTACTGTTGAATGTTTCGGGTTTCATCCCCTAGGTCTTCCTCACTCAATTTCCTTTGTCCCTCCCCAATTGTCTCTGTCTATTCAATCTCTTTCCCCTTCCTATTCTACTCAATTTGGTATCAATACTACACAAATCCAAATAGAGAAAACAAGCAAGAATAAAATAATGTCACTTGCAGATTATCTGACTAAATATGTTGGCCATTGTAAGCGACTCTCAGTTGTCCAACTCATATGATTTCTCTTCATTAAACACTTGACTACAATTGTATGTATTATTATACAACCATATTTATAGAAATAGGAATATGTTTCTTACAATTTACAAATGCAAGAGAAATAGCAGAGAGACTGTGTATTTGCAGAAGAATCATCAACAGGAAGTTAGAGCTAATAAGGTGCAAATTTTAGTACCTGGGGTGCAACTAAACGACGTGGAAAAAGTTCTTCATGTCTACGTGCACAAAATTCCCAAGATAATATCTGCAAAAAGAAGGTGACAACAGGTTATTCCCTAAATAGCAGAAATAAGAACGACAAAATGTTAATAAGCTTTTGTTAACCTTTAAGTCCTGAGTGAATATGATGCGAAGCTGCCCCTCACGAACAACACGAAGCTGTTCATATACACTCTCCTGGACTACTTTTCCATACTCCAACATCATTATTCCAGAAGGGAATCTACACTCACGAGGCAAGTCCAAAAACAGAAGCTCATCAACCACTACACTACCAAATTTGATTTCATTAAGTCTGGGGAGTACTTCAAAAGTTGCTTCTGTAAACATGAGAGCATTTACTTAGGTTAAAATCAAGTGGTAAGAATAAGTAACTTCTAAAGTGCAAAACTTATATTGAAGCCGCAAGCATGGGGCCTATGTTCTCTTAACTAATGAAACAAAATAAGAATAAACAATGGAGTCCATAAATCCAGAGATGTTATGAATTGATGCATATTAATTTCAAGCCATTGGAATACAATATATTGTCTAATTGAGAAAACAAGAAATGATAGACTTTACTGCAGATAAAAATTTCAAAAAATCAATAATAACGGGAAACCCATAACCCTGAAAATTCAAAAAATTCCATTTCTCTCCTCCATCTAGCATGTCAATATAAGGAGAGAAATAAAAAGATAATCTATAATAACGGAAATGTGACTGAGATAAAAATGAAAATCAATGAAAAGAAAGCAATGAATTTACTGCAGATAGCATCCTATAACAAACATAAAATAAGACCATCATTTTTCCATACCGTACTTCTAAAATGTAATTCCTACCAAAATCAATTAAAAAGAATTCTATCTACAACAAAGCAAGAGCTCAGAAATCTCTTACCAAACCCCCTTCCAGATTTAGAGCCACAAATATCACAATGCCAGGCATCCTGAAATTTTTACATAAACAAAATCAGAATTCTACAGATAGAAGACAAAAAAAATTAAGAACCCAATTGTTGGATGGTATTAATCATGCAGAAGAATGAATGCAGGATTAACAAATCAGTGCAAACAATTCAATAAAAAGGCCTACATGATAGAAAGATCATTTTAATATGTTACAAACTAGAGGAAAAAAGCATAAAGACTAACCATAGCTGCTTGTGGGAAAACACCAAGTGCATGACTCCCCACATTATCATACAGTGACAAACACCATCTTTTCTTTGCACGAGGAGAATAATACTCTGAAACAAATTTCCTCCAGTATGCAAAAGTATTATCCTACAAAATTAAGGAGACATAACAGCATTCTCAGCAATTATCAATTGAAAATGAGTTGATGTCAAGTCTGTAACAAGAAGATAATTGAGCAATCATCGGAGTATATAGTAGATTTGTACACGCAAGAAAAGGAAGGATAACTTCATGACTGCAGGAAGTTAACTAAGCATACATATTTTCACAAAAAATGCAATCTTCAAGAGCATGGAATTGTTAAATCAAATTAATCAAAATTTAAGATACTTCGCCACAAGATGCAGTGGGGTACAAAAAAACCATAAACTCACCGTTGGCCTTTGCCGTTGGTGATATAGGTATTGCATTAGCCGGCGAGCACATACACCACCATCAAAGGAGCGCTTCATCCCAGCTACTTGCTGCATGCCCTGTTGTTGCAATTGCTGCCTCAAGTGCACTTGCTGTTGCTGCTGCTGAAACTGCACTCTCTGCAATGGTGGCATTGACCGCAAAATTTGTTGTTGTTGCCTAAGTCGTTGCTGCTGGACCAAAGCTTGTAATTGGGGGTTTCGACCTTGCAACTGCATGGAATCCTGTCTTTGCAGCAACTGTTGCAACACCTGCTGCTGCAGAATGTCTTCATGCTTGATGTCTAATCGAGGTTTTTTCTGCACCTGAGATAGATTATTAGGATCTTGCACGAAGGACCCTTGGACTCGTGGACT